TGGCCCTTCTACCTCCCCACACAGAATCACGTGCTTCTATTTCCTGCACTCTGGACCATCCCGTCATTGCTGGGGTACAGCCAACAAGAGTCCTCAAGACAGGAAACACAGACTCTCTTCCTGGGTTGGCAAGCCAAACAGTACTTTACAAGTTTTAGTGAACTTTCTTGCCATAAAGTTACATACACTCCATGTAACTTTACCCAGGCATCCTGGTAAGGGAAATAAGGAAGTTGAGGCTCTGAGGCTGTAACCACCAACAATGCGGGGGGGGGGGGGCAGGGGGAGGTATTGATTCAAATGAAAGAAATTTAAAATTCAGTTCTCTAAATCTATCATGGTCCAAATGCTCAGTAGCCACAAACAGCTAGTGGTGACCATGTAGACAGCGCAGAATCATTGAGCATTGATGTCACTGTAGAAAGTTCTATGGGGCCATGCCCTGAGGGCCCCAGGCTGCTTAGGGACTGAGTAGCAGGTAGTGCTTGTCTCTGCTGTGGAGCCCTAAGGGAGAGGTGTGGTGAGGCAGACAACATCAGAGCACATTCCCACAGTGATCCCTTCTGAAGACACAAGAGAGGACTCCTAGAAAGCGTAAGACCTTCTGAGGGTCACTTGCTTCACTGACTACCGCTGTCCACACCGGGGGCCACCCAGTCATGATGTTGTCATATCACCTGGAAGGGAGACCTGGGGATCATCTCCTCTTGATATTTCTGTCCCCTGGGTTCCTGGAGAAGGGGACACAAGTACATACTTGGACAATGAGTGTCTTAGAACACCTCCAAGACCCTGAGACTTCTTGGGAGTGTTGGAGGCCGCTCAAGGTAATTGTTTCTAAAAAATTTTTGTGTGTTTCCTGCTTTTAAGACAGAGTCTCATTATGTATCCCAAGTTTTCTGTCAGCATGCCAGGTAGTGTAGGTTGGCCTTGAACCCTCAATGTTCCTCTCAACTCAGCTGTCTGAATTTCTGGGATTACAAGCGTGCACCATCATATCCAGGGTGTAGGGTGCTGGCGATCGAACCCAAGGCTCCACACATGTTTCCTGGCTGCATTCCTTTTCCTTGCCTCCCAGCTCACTGCAGATGGAGATGCCAGGGTCTCCCTGAACTACTGAGAGAAATGAAGTGATATTTGAAGTGAATGTAGCCTCTGACTGTGGGGAATATTTGGGAAGGAACATAGCTCATAGGACACCTTTGAGGACTCTGCTATTGGCAAGAAACCCTTCTTATATTGTGTCTCCTGTTGGCCCTAGCACCTCAGAGAGTGAGCGGTCAGATTGCATTATTCACAGTCTGGAGAGAGGCAGAAAGCTGTCCCTTCAACAAAAACAGAAACAAACAAGCAAAAACCATAAGTGTAGTACAGGCTAGCCTTGAATTCCCTATGTAGCTGAGGATGACCTTGAACTCTCCAGTGTTGGCATTACAGGGGTATGCCGCTATCCCGTTTATATGGTGCCAGAGAGCAAACTCAGGACTTCATGTGTGCTCACTAAATATTCCACCAACTGGACTGCATCCCCGTCTCAAGCTGTCACTTCTTGGCTCCTTTATCTTCCAGGTGTCTTCTCTCCTCCAGAAGCGGGTCTCATCTATGAAGTGTGAGTTAATCAGGAGCCCCAGGTATTCAAAGGTCCAAAGTTACATGGAGAAAGCCTCTCTCTGAATACCCTGAGCTGTGGAGAAACGCCTAGAATGGGAAAGGAAATGAAGGGAAGCAAGGCTTTCCTGCAGTGGGACAAGCAGCGTGACCTCCGCTGCTCCAAACTGCACAGAGGGTCGCCATCCAGCACAAGCCCAACTCTTTTTCCTGCCCCACCCTCCTAGGACTCATCCTAGCCTCACCTGGATCCTCCTAAGCTCCCACATCAGATGCAAGGTGACCAGCTGTCCCTGCCTGCTCAGCACCCAGAGGGCTCTTAACCTGTGGGATTTGCAGTTTTAAAATAGGACAGCCCCAGTTAAATGAGGACATTTGGTCACCCTGGGTGGTGACTGCATCTCTGAGAGTGTTTGCCTATTTGAGGACTAAGGGGATGTAGTGTTTCCCTAGCATCCTGTGAGATCTCAAGACTCTGACTTCCAGAGTGATACCTAGGCCTGAGGCAGATAAGGCTAGAGCAAGACAGCGGGTCTCGGTACCCATAGCACTAAGATGGACCTCTGCATCTATTCCAGTTCCCAGACCTGGGTTTCCACTCCTCTCAGTCACAGGGCAGCATCCACACCCCTTCTCCAAACCCCTTCCCTTGTGGAAGAAGAGCAAAGGTGGCAAGTTCTGTGGTGTCACCAGGGACTCCTGGACACATTACTTCCCTGTGCCTCTGTTTCTTCATCTGCCATGGGACTAGCTGTGCCTGATTCACAACATCACAACAGGTGCATTACTGGCTCTGCGGTTTCTCCCTGGATCACACTCTCAGGTTCTAGGATACACCAGAAGAACTATAAAAACTAAGTAAAGCTGCCATCCTCGTGGCCACTGTTTTGCACTGTGGGAGAGGAGTTTAACAGCAATGACCCAGAAGACAGAGTCAAGAGGAGGCTCAAGGCTTCCAGCTGGTCTCTGGTGCATTTGCATGCATGATGCTTAATTTTCTCAGCGACAATGTGTGGTAGAAAAGGTCAAGTCGTACTGACCAGGTCACCTCCTTTGAGTATTAGTATCTAGGGTTTTTATTGGTGGCTTATCTCTTGGGCAGAAAGCAAATGGCTAGCCTTAGCTCCACAGTCTGCAGCTCCCCTGGGGGTCAAACCGATACAGCAGGATCCAGGACCCTGACCATACATCACAATGTTAACTTAAACCATCTGGTGAGGACAGAAGCCCCAGAGAAGAAGCAAAGGTAGTCTGTCAGACAGCTATTGCAAGGGCTCCGAGGCTAGTTCCCCTGAACTTTTTAAATGTGAAAGTTTTTTTTTTTTTTCAAAAATGTCCTCACCCCAGATCAGCTGAGGCTTTACAGCCCAGAAGTGTTGTAACACCCAATACCACTTTCGTTTCTTATACAGGGGTGGGGTCTGCTTCACAAAGTCACCTGTATGTTGTTACAACTGCTACCCTACAGGATCAGATGGTTCCACTTGAATCCTCTTCCTCGTGGAGGATTTACGGGACTCTTTCACAATGGGAGGATATATATTCAGGTAACATGCTTGGCCTCTCTCACTAATCCCACCCAGAGAAAGGGGAGGACACCCAGCCTTGTGAGTTTGGAGAATGGGCAGTGCCCACCCAGCACACACTACTTCCGTTCTCCCAAGCTGTCTCTGAACACAGATCATTCCACATGTTCTCAGACTCAGCCCTTTGAGAGAGCCCCCCCCTCAGCTGTCCACCTCTACCTGCACTGTGTCTTGGAGATGACATCAGGTTTAGGGATGAGGTTTCAGCTGTGGCTGACAGATCTTAAACCACAATCTCAAGCAAGTTATCAGCTCTAAAGGTGATTTTAAATGCCATATTCTGTAGGTCTTTGAAAGGTTTGAAGAATACCTATTCATCTGAAATATATCTCTATACATCTAGAAAACCTAACTAACATAACTACGAGTTTGACTATTATAGATAACTATTAAATCATAATTTTAATTATAAATTACATTTTTAAATATTATATAAACATAATACCTTAAACAAGAGTAGAAATACACACATAACAAAATTGACCTTAAAATTTGTATCAATAAATCAAAGTCCATACCAATGTATTCCCTTTTTATCTTTAGAAAGACTTTGACTGTGACCATTAAGCATTTATAATCAACCTCCTTTAAATAAAAATAAACATTTATAAATAATCACTTTGGGAATTTGGGTGTTGTTTTCTTCAAACTTCTTCCTTCTGTTTGTTGGGCAAAGTATTTTTAGGGTTCATGGAGACCTTTCAGGGGATTTTGTTCCATCAAACTATATTAGCCTGGACTAGAGAGACCTCCAGGGCCCTCGGGCTGATGTGTGACAGCATTTGGGAGGGACCAGAGAAAGAAACAGACTGATTATAAACAAGTCACGGTGACTGCTAATGGCTCCTGTCACACATGTGGTTGTCCCAGTACCCCAGAAGGGACTAGCCCCAAAACAGTCTGATTGGTTCAGGGGTTTGTGAGGCTGCAGGATGTTAAATGACCAAAGTGGCCTGGACTTGGAGCTCCAATCCCCCGTGAACACAGAGAAAAGGCAGGGGGTAGGGGTCTGCCACCTGCAGTCAGTTCTGTCCTGCCCTCAGGGACAGGGGTACAGTGTTTCATAGATGACTACACACCCTAGCAACCCTGCTCCTGAGTCAAATACAGGCGTCAGTTTCACTGCTCAGTGTGCCATCTTCTAGGTGTGACCAGAGAGTTCTACCGTCAGAGCTCTGACAAGGTCCACCCCACGGAACAGCCAGTCGACGGGCTAAACAAGAGGAAGCAGAGTTGGATAGAAGCAGTAGGGAAAAGAGGTGGACAGCCATCCAGCGAGGCGAGCAGTCAGAAATTACAGCATCTGGGGCCATTTTAGCATGTGGGCTGTCCCCCTCACTGAGCCGCTGGCCTGTCTCCGTGTAGACCACACATTGACCGGTCTTAGTAAACCAATTGTTAAGGGATAAATCACAGAAGCCTGGAGTCATTAAAAGAAAGGTAAATCTGTTCAACACAACCAGTTTTAAGAATATACAGGGGGAGAAATGCTACAAGCAACTGTACCATTACAAACAAGAAACAGTTAGAGGTGAAGGTTACAGGTCTGACTTAGTGTCTGGGCCTCCTTCCCAGAGGAGGAGGGATAAACGGAACGTCACTCAAAAACCATATTGAGGTCTCTCTCTTTTTTTTTTTTTTTTTTTGCCTCTGCGTGATGTTATTTTGGTAGCAGGAAAGCAATAAAAATGGAGAAAGGGGAATAAATGGGGACTTAAGTTTGGTCCCTCCATTAAAAAAAGAAAAAACAAAAGAAAAAAAAAAAAAGAAACAATCATCCAGTTGCCGGCCAACACGCGCAGGCCTTCAGTCAGCCTGGCTCTTCCTGGTGACTCGCAGCGGATCATGGCTCCTGACCAGCATCTTCTCCAGCCGCTCGCAGTGCTCGCGAAGCTGCTTCTCCCGGGGCAGAAGGAAGGTGAGCACCTTGTTGCGAACGATGCCACGGTCCTCCTCCTCCCTGAGTCGCTGCTTCACTCGCGCCGCCTGTTCCTCCTGCTGTGCCAGGACGCTGTTCATCTCGCAGAAGGCGTCCTCCAGGTACCCGATGGCCTGCAGAGCCTCCTTCTTGAAGTCCTCCAGCTCCCTTTGCACCGCGACCACTTTCTGCCGCAAGATCTCCAAGTCGGCGGGCAGAGGGAGGCAGGAGGGCCATGACTGAGACAGGGAGAGGTCCCCGGACTGGAGCCCACTCTCCACCATCTTCCTGCCCTGTAAGGTATTCACCTTCATAAGAAAGGACCCCGTCTGATGGAGGGCTTCCATCATCTCCTCCGACGGAGAGGAAACCAAGAAGCCCAGTCAGTTATCTGGGGGCTAGAGGCGCAATCATTTGGAGTAGTTAGACACATCTCATTGTGACATCAAGGCCCTTCAGCCAATCAGACGGAAAGCCCCTGTTCACTACTTTGCATATTGCAGCTTCCTCGGTTGGTAGCCTACAGTTTTGCCTGTGCTTCCCAAGTCTCCTGAGGCCAGGCTTAGTGTTGTTTTGTCTCCCTTTCAGAATAAGAGCCCACGTGTTCTTCTATCCCCACTGGGCAAGTTTTCTCCCAGAGAGTGGAAAAAAACTGGCCAAGACAAGGCAGGCCAGGTCAGGTTCACAGACTGCTGAGACTGAGCATGGCTGGTTTTACGGCCTGATGTCTGGGCTGCATTCAGTCTCACCAGTAAGACGAGGTCATCATAACAGATGATGGCTGACCCACCAATAGCTCTGAGATGCTCGAGAGTATTCCAATCCTAATTCCATCTTCCTTCAATGATGCCGGAATACTTAGGTAATCTTTTTATTGTGATATATGTGCTTGCTTATGAAGTGTGGTCCACAGAAACACCTGTTGGATAAAAATGAGCCGTTCATATTTATTCAGTAAAAACTTCCTGAGTGCTGGCTAGGTTCTAGAAGGAGTGGGAGTAAGGACAGTTTCCTCAGCACACCTGGATGATGGCAAATAAGAGAGGGAAAAAGTGTGTATGGGTAAATCCTATGGTTTTGCCTGGTTACTATAGTCTCTAACCACATTTGACTCAGTCAAGAGCAAACCTCTGCCTTTGCAGATTGCATTCTCTCGCCCAGACCTCCTTCCAGGGCTCCAAACATAAACATCTCCCTGACAACCAACCTTGAAGCCAATCCATCTAGCCCTAGATAAACTACTTTACCCAAACTGCCTCCTGTTCTGCTCTCCTGTGAATGACCCTACCTGGGGCAGCAGCCATAGCAGCACCTAGTGACATGGTCTGAATGTCTGTCCCCTTCCCAATTCATTTTGAAGTTCTGTCACCCTATCAGTATTAAGAAGTGAGGGGTTTTAGGAGGCAGCGTGCAGTAGATGGATGTCACCATCTCTAGAGTGGGTTCCTTATAAAAAAAATCTCTGCTGGTTCCCCTTTTTACGTCTTCTGCCATCTTTGCCTTTCTGCCATGGGAACCTTCCACATGGGGTGGACAACATGAAGGTCCTCACCAGACACCAGCCCCTTGGTCCTGGACTTCAGCTTCTGGACTTATGGAATTTTAAGGAAATAAATTCTGTTGTTGTCGCTTTGTAGATTTCTCTGCATCTGATGTTTTGTTTTGTTGCTAGAGAACAACTCAGAGTAAGCCTTCTGGAATCAAGCTAGACTCCTTCACATCCAAGCGACCACAGTGGCTGTTAGGCCTCTCATCCCTGAGCACCCTGTTGCTCACCCTCTTGCACTGGAATCCCGACTCCACTGCTTGGAAGCAACTTCTCATTAGGAGCACACCTTTCCCCCTTGAGCCCCTGCTTCCGTCCCGGAGTTTCTGAGAGCTGTGCTGTACAGCTCTCTGGGAGAGAAAAACAAATCTCTGATGGGCAGATGCTGCCAATTTCCATAGTGTAAATACTCCCAGCATGGATAATTTTCAAGCTACCAACTTGCTGTCTCCAGGAAGTGAAGCACCAAATAAGCCCTCCTGAGCCTGGATAAGCCAACTCCAGTGCCACAAGGCGGGTTACCGCCTTCTCTGAGATGCACATAGGCTATCTAGTGGCCTCGTGTAGTCATCAGAGAGGCCACATTGCAGGAACAGTTGGAGCTAAATGAAGGTGGGATTTTTGAATTGCAAGAAACTCCAATTACTGAGAAGGAATGTTGAATGGAAGGAGCACCTACTTTTCTGGGATTCGGGAGAGCTGGAGTAGGGAACAGCTTCCGTGGTCCCAGGCCAATCATCTCCCCCTCGGAGCCTGTTCCCAGCTGGGATATGAGAGTTGAGAGGAGGCTTCTTCTCTGCAGACTCCAGTTTTCAAAGGCCCCCCTTTCCATAGCGTCCCCCTTCTTCAGTCACTTACAACCGTTACCTGATTCTTCCAGGACTTTTAGGCACAGTAAACTCCAGCAGAGATCATGTATGCCTAGACCTGTTTCCGTTCAAGAGTCCTGCCTGCTGATGTGCACACAGTGGCACTCAGATAACGAGAAGAGATGGAATTTCATTCCATAGGTGGCTCTCAAATGCTGGCCACCCCGAGCTTTCCTGCTGACACATTGACACCTACTGGCCTTCATAGAAACCGCAGCCTCAGAATTCCACCTAAGAGTGGGTGGGGACCAGGGGGTTGATGGAAACTGCGTGGGGTCTGTGCTGTATGATCGGGGGTGCATATTGCACACATAATGGGTTCTCCATCAATAAATAGCACTCGTGGATTAGTGAAAGGGAGAACAAAAGTGTGTCTCTTCTAGTCTCGGCCTCGGTGTGTTTCTCTCTTCCTCCCTCTCCATCTCCTCTCTCCATCTTTGCCTTTGTTTCGCACAGGGACTGGCGGGAAGGCCAACATTGGGAGGATTGTCTCGGTTCCTCTGGTGCTGTTGAATGAGGCTCCGGTTTGCTTCTCAGAGCCAGAGGGGTTCCCCTTATCCTAGGGGCGACAGGAAACCGAGAGCCGGGACTGTCACCAGGCCTGGGGTCTCCTGAGCATCCCGGACAGCGACTCACACTGAATGTGCCAGGAAGTTCCACAGTCAGGCCTGGCCTTGCCTACCACCTGCCCGCCCATATGTCTGAGGCATTAGGAATGCTGATCTATCTAGTCCCTTCAAGGTATCAAGAGAAAGGAATTTCGACCTAGCAAAGCATCCGTCACCTTGAATCCCATCGTCAGGAGGGTCCCTTGTCCCAGTCTCTTTCAGTTTGTCATGGCTTCCCTGTGGCTCAAGATGACACAGAGACATGAGGGATGTGGGGACTTCACGGAGACCCAGGCCTCACCCCGTGAGCGTCCAGTTCAGTCAGAATGGGTTGAGACTAGTACATGGCGTGCCTTAAAGGCTACTGAGTGCGTGACCCGGAGTCTAAAACCCGTTTCTTCTTGATGTGTACACCTCAGGAATGGAAAGCACATGGCTTCTCTCCCCCTCTCCTGGGTGTTTTCACTTCTGGCAGTGGGATAGACCCCCATCCTTTGGGGAATTAGAGGGACACCCACTCCCATCTCCCCTGTTGCCACTTTGTCAAGTCACAAACCCTGAGAGACTAGAAGTGCCTCATGTTCTGTTAGAATGGCGTGCCCAGCCATGACTAATCCACAGTTGGCTCGAACCCAGCCGTAGTGGGTTTCTAACCCAGGGCTGGCTCACACAGTCATACTTCTCTGCCTGGGCTGGACTCCAGCCAGTTCCCCTGATACACAGGCCTCCCAATATCAGAACCAACTGGGGATTTGTTTTCTCTAATGCTTTTTTTTAATTGATTTTTATTGAGCTCTACATTTTTCCTCTGCTCCCCTCCCTGCCTCTTGCCTCCCCTTCAACCCTCTCCCAAAGTCCCCATGGTCCCAATTGACTCAGGAGATCTTGTCTTTTTCTGCTTCCCATGTAGATTAGACCCATGTATGTCTCTCTTAGGGTCCTCACTGTATTCTAGGTTCTCTGGGATTGTGACTTGTAAGCTGGTTTTCTTTGCTTTATGTTTAAAAACCACTTATGAGTGAGTACATATATTTGTCTTTCTGAGTCTGGGTTTCCTCACTCAAAATGATGTTTTCTAGAACCATCCATTTGTCGGCAAATTTCAAGATGTTGTTACTTTTTTCTGCTGTGTAGTACTCTATTGTGTAAATGTACCACATTTTCCTTATCTATTTAGGTTGTTCCCAGGTTCTGGCTATGACAAACAATGCTGCTATGAACATAGCTGAGCACATTTCTTTGTGGCACAATTGAACATCCTTTAGGTATATACCCAAAACTGGTATTGCTTGAGGGTCTTGAGAAAGGTGGTTTCCTAATTTTCTGAGAAATTGTCACACTGACATCCAAAGGGGCTGTACCAGCTTACACTCCCACCAGCAATGGATAAGTGTTCCCTTTACCCCACAACCTCTCCAGCATATGTTGTTATCGGTGTTTTTGATCTTGGCCATTCTTACAGGTGTAAGATGGAATCTCAGAGTTGTTTTGATTTGCATTTCTCTGATGACTAAGGATTTTGAGCATTTCCTTAAGTGTCTTTCAACCATTTTAGATTGGTTGTTGAGAGTTCTCTGTTTAGGTCTGTACTCCATTTTTTATTGGGTTATTTTTTTCCTTTGATGACCAATTTCTTGAATTCTTTGTTTATTTTGGAGATCAGACCTCTGTCTGATGTGGGGTTAGTGAAGATCTTTTCCCATTTTGTAGGCTGTCGTTTTGTCTTATTCACCTTGTTGACCATGTCCTTTGCTTTACAGAAGCTTCTCAGTTTCAGGAGGTCCCATTTATTAATTGTTTCTCTCAGTGTCTGTGCTGCTGGGGTTATATTTAAGAAGCAGTCTCCTGTGTCAATGCATTCACGTGTACTTCCTACTTTCTCTTCTATAAGGCTCAGTGTGGCTGGCTTTGTGTTGAGGTCTTTGATCTATTCGGACATGTGGGTGCTGGGAATTGAACCTAGGTCTTCTGGAAGAGCAGCCAGTGCTCTTAACCGCTGAGCCGTCTCTCCAGTCCCCATCAGATGAGCTTCCTATGTCAACTTTCAGGTGGTGTCTATCTCTCCTCACCCCCAAGGAAAACAATGCTGGGGAAATGAATTTCAGAGCAAGATGCCATATTCCCAAAGAGCAGGTGAGTAGCTATCTCTAGAAGATGGGACAACTGTGGCTTCTAACCATTCTTTTCCCAGAATTCCCTGTCCTGTGCCTCTCAAGATGGTTACACTGGCCTAAGAGAGGTCAATACAAACACCTCTTTCAGCCAGGCTTCCGCCCGTTCATCCACCTGCCCCCCTAGGCATCACTTAGCCATCCACCATTCAC